CAGCAGGATGGTCCCGTGTCGGGGAGCAGGCTGAGGGAGGCTAGGGAGCTGGGCAGCACCCAGGTGGGGCCTGCCTGTGCCTCCAGGCCATTGTAGACACCCTGAGCCCTGTCCTGCATGCCCCGGGAGGACCTACACGGCCCCCATGTCATGTTCTCCTGTGAATGGAGCCCGGGGGACCATGGTGGAATATGAAAGGAGCATGACAGAGCATGGTCGAGAATGAAGGAGCATGGTGGAGCATAATGGAACATGATGGAGCATGGTGAAGAATGAAGGAGCATGATGGAGCGTGATGGAACATGATGGAGCATGGTGGACAATGAACGAGCAGCATTGAACATGATGGAGCTTGAAGGAGCATCATGGAACAGCACTAAACATGAAGGAACATGGTGGGGAATGAAGGAGCATGATGGAACATATTGGAGTGTAATGGAGCATGATAGAGAATGAAGGAGTATGGTGGAGCATGAAAGAGCATGATGGAACATGATGGAGCATGGTGGAGAATGAAGGAGCAGCATTGAACATGAAGGAGCATGGTGGAGCATGATGGAACATGAGGGAACATGATGGAGCATGGTAGAGAATGGTGGAGCATGAAGGAACATTCTCCTGTGAATGGAGCATAGTGGAGCATGGTGGAACATGGTGGGGAATGATGGAACATGAAGGAGCATGGTGGAGAATGGTGGAGCATGGTGGAGCATGGTGGGGAATGGTGGAGCATGGTGGGGAATGATGGAGCATGGTGGAACATGGTGGGGAATGGTGGAGCATGGTGGGGAATGGTGGAGCATGGTGGGGAATGATGGAGCATGGTGGAGCATGGTGGGGAATGGTGGAGCATGGTGGNGGAGCATAATGGAACATGATGGAGCATGGTGAAGAATGAAGGAGCATGATGGAGCGTGATGGAACATGATGGAGCATGGTGGACAATGAACGAGCAGCATTGAACATGATGGAGCTTGAAGGAGCATCATGGAACAGCACTAAACATGAAGGAACATGGTGGGGAATGAAGGAGCATGATGGAACATATTGGAGTGTAATGGAGCATGATAGAGAATGAAGGAGTATGGTGGAGCATGAAAGAGCATGATGGAACATGATGGAGCATGGTGGAGAATGAAGGAGCAGCATTGAACATGAAGGAGCATGGTGGAGCATGATGGAACATGAGGGAACATGATGGAGCATGGTAGAGAATGGTGGAGCATGAAGGAACATGATGGAGCATAGTGGAGCATGGTGGAACATGGTGGGGAATGGTGGAGCATGGTGGAACATGGTGGGGAATGGTGGAGCATGGTGGGGAATGGTGGAGCATGGTGGGGAATGGTGGAGCATGGTGGAGCATGGTGGGGAATGGTGGAGCATGGTGGAGCATGGTGGGGAATGGTGGAGCATGGTGGGGAATGGTGGAGCATGGTGGAGCATGGTGGGGAATGGTGGAGCATGGTGGAGCATGGTGGGGAATGGTGGAGCATGGTGGGGAATGGTGGAGCATGGTGGAGCATGGTGGGGAATGGTGGAGCATGGTGGAGCATGGTGGGGAATGGTGGAGCATGGTGGGGAATGGTGGAGCATGGTGGAGCATGGTGGGGAATGGTGGAGCATGGTGGAGCATGGTGGGGAATGGTGGAGCATGGTGGGGAATGGTGGAGCATGGTGGAGCATGGTGGGGAATGGTGGAGCATGGTGGAGCATGGTGGGGAATGGTGGAGCATGGTGGGGAATGGTGGAGCATGGTGGAGCATGGTGGGGAATGGTGGAGCATGGTGGAGCATGGTGGGGAATGGTGGAGCATGGTGGGGAATGGTGGAGCATGGTGGAGCATGGTGGGGAATGGTGGAGCATGGTGGAGCATGGTGGGGAATGGTGGAGCATGGTGGGGAATGGTGGAGCATGGTGGAGCATGGTGGGGAATGGTGGAGCATGGTGGAGCATGGTGGGGAATGGTGGAGCATGGTGGGGAATGGTGGAGCATGGTGGAGCATGGTGGGGAATGGTGGAGCATGGTGGAGCATGGTGGGGAATGGTGGAGCATGGTGGGGAATGGTGGGGAATGGTGGAGAATGGTGGAGCATGGTGGGGAATGGTGGAGCATGGTGGGGAATGGTGGAGCATGGTGGAGCATGGTGGGGAATGGTGGAGCATGGTGGAGCATGGTGGGGAATGGTGGAGCATGGTGGGGAATGGTGGAGCATGGTGGGGAGTGGTGGAGCATGGTGGGGAATGGTGGAGCATGGTGGGGAGTGGTGGAGCATGATGGAGCATGGTGGGGAATGGTGGAGCATGATGGAGCATGGTGGGGAATGGTGGAGCATGATGGAGCATGGTGGGGAATGACGGAGCATGGTGGGGAATGACGGAGCATGGTGGGGAGTGGTGGAGCATGATGGGAATGGTGGAGCATGTTGGGGAATGATGGAGCATGGTGGGGAATGGTGGAGCATGATGGGAATGGTGGGGAATGGTGGAGCATGATGGGAATGGTGGGGAATGGTGGAGCATGGGTAATGAAGGCCAGTGTGGGTGATATGAGGCCGGGCTGCCATGTATCCAGGTGACCTTGCCGGCCACTCCAGAGCATGTCCTCGAGTGTGATGGCCTGGTCATGGCATGGATCCTGTGCCCCTGGAGGACCCGCCTATGAGGCACTGCAGGCCAGAACGCCCCTTGCCCATGGTTTCCTAGTGACCCTTGGCTGCACTTACCGGAAGGGCCTTTGGGCAGTGGTGAAACTCCCTCATCAGCTTTGATAAGCCTTTGGGTGGAGTTACAGACCTGCAGGGGGACCATCTTGCCTTC